TCAGTACACTTGGGTGTCAAGAAAACCTGATATAATCTCTTAAACATTCCTTCTGGCCAGGAATAAAATCTTGTCACCATATTATCGTAAATGTAATTCTTGCCAAATTTCTGGGAAATCAAATCAAGTTGTTTTACCAGCAACTTTAAAGCCAGTTATTGTGTTAAATGAGCTATTTGAAAACATGTGATAGACTGTGTTGGTCCATTGCAAGTCAAGACATTTGCTGACTATGATGTGATCTGCATCCAGTTTCCAGAAGCTGTACCCTTAGGCTGCCTGAAGACCCCCAACATTGTGAAAGCCCTTGTAAAATTCTGCAACACAATCGGTTTACAAAAGTCATTTAAACTCAATAGGGAATTGTCACAGGGTAAAACCAAAGACACTGTGACTGACAAACACACATCTCATTGCACTCGTACATAAAATACATACATAAATATGAATCTTTGTAGTGTTATCTGTATTGTGCATGTGTGTAATTGTGTAATGTATATATGTTGTTTTATTGTCAAGATTGGCATTGTGTTTTTTGTAAAAAATATCACTTTCATGTCAAACAATAGCCCATATCATCTTCCCATTCACACTGAAATAAACACAGACACATTTTCTTTTAAACATCATTTATTAACCAAACATAGAAAGTTTACACACACTTACCAGTTTCCATTTCTCAACACCAAAACTGTTTACGTTTCAAACAATGACATTTATACAGATTTTTCCCGCCTTCATGTCAGAGCAGCCATTTTCTATGACATCATCAGGGTCACGACCCCCTGGTCAGTGAATAAAAATCACAGTTTTGTTGTTTATATTTGTATCGGCTATTTGTTGTTGTATTTTGAGTTTTGTATGCATATTCATTTACTTGCATTAATTTATACTTTTATTTAATGTATTTTTTTGTCTACATGTTGACCTACAACCTGTAAAATGGTTGAACCCATGGGCGGGGCCAATAAGTTGTAGGAGCAGTTGTAGGAGTAGGTTGTGTGGTGTTGTGTCAGAGAGATTGGTTAACTGATTTTGTTCAGCTCATAGCTTTGATTTAGCTGAACAATCTTGTAAAATACTTTGTAAATATTGTATTGTTTATTTTTCTTTATTCTTATTTGGTCACTTTCACCTTTTTGCTGGATTTTTTTTCTTCACTGTGTCAAATCACTCTTCATTCTCACTTTTTGCCTCCATTAATGGTGGGCAAAGCGAGCCTTCATTAAACACTGAAACAGTCGAAGCAAATGTGTTGTTTATGTAAATGTTTTTTATGTATTGCATTAAAACAGCTTCAGCAAGGAACAGTTGAGCAAATTGAGGTATTAAAGCCCACTTTGTAAATTTAAATTTTCAACTGATGTAGTGGAGAGGTTAAGGTTTCCGACCTCCATCCAGGGATAGTGGGTTTAAATCCAGTCTAAAACAACTATTTTGAAATCCTTTAAAACCAGTTGGTAATGCTTTGTTCTTGTATCGTTGTGTTTCAACATTGGTCTGACATCCGAATAAACACTTTGTGAATAAATTTGTCATACAAACACCTAAGAGACACAAAGTCCCATTTTTGTTGCATCAAAATTGTTTAAGTCGTATGCCCCACACTCAGGTTAAAAAAATAATCTGATCTTTTGATCATAAAACAGGGTTGTTGCTAGATCAGAGACAGTTTTGGCCATATGTTAACAAGAATTGTTTATATTATTCATAAATTTTTCCTTCTATTGTATTTTATTACCATCTACCCAAACCCTAAACCCAACCATCACAGTACTGTTAAAATATTAGTTATTGTTTTACAGTGTCACAAAAATGATGCTAAATGGCGTATCCGCAGCTGTATCCTATTTAGACTACACCGTAAAACAGTAACATAATTAAAATACATAAAACAATGATTTCGGAGTATTTGTACAAGTAGGGATTCGAACCCAAAAGTCATTTGAAGCACAGAAACTGTGTGCCTAGGCACAGTCCTCTAGGCCAGGGGTGTCAAACTCAATTCCTGGAGGGCCGAAGCCCTGCACAGTTTCGTTCCAACCCTGCTCTAACACACTTACCTGTAGGTTTCATACAAGCCTGAAGGACTCAATTAGTTTGATCAGGTGTGTTTAATTAGGGTTGGAACTAAACTGTGCAGAGCTGCGGCCCTTTTGGAACTGAGTTTGACACCTGTGCTCTAGGCCATATAAGACTTTTTCTGACCCTGGCAGTCAAATGGTAATTCGCCAGGTCTCGAAACTCTTCTGAACTGATCGATGCTTTAAATTGCTTTAGTCACGTGACCAGGTGTTGCGAAACACTTGTGACTTGGGTGTTTTGGATCATGCTTCGTTGTTTTGAAACACTTGTGCCTTGGGATCTCGACACTGTGTTGAAATGTCAGTTTCACGTCAGCCATCCCTAGCCTCCATCCACCTGGTCAATCGTAACAGGAATCAATTTTATTTATTTAACATGTTTCATTAGGCAATGAAAGAACTGAAACTCCCGCACACTGTCTGAGGGTGTTTATGAAATGGTTCTACCAAACCTTAAAGACCATGATTCATACTTATCGTGTTGAACATCAGAAGAATTGTAATAAGCAGTTACCGGTTTTGTTGTTTGCCATTCAGGCTACTGTATGTCGTACAAACGCCTATGAGACACAAAGTGCCATTTTTGTTGCATTAAAATTGTTTGAGTCGTATGCCCCACACTCAGGTTAAAAAAATAATCTGTCCTAACAACTTCCCCTTCTCTAATCACTTCCTGTGGAAGTTGTTTTACCTGCTGATTTTCTGTTTGGATGGCCTTAATTTGCGCAGTGCTGGTCCTCATCTAAAAAATTCAGTAACCCTTGCAACGTTCAGTTCTAAACTCTCATTTATCTAAATCCACTCACACTGAGTTGTCTTAGTTAATTGGTCCATTTTCAGTTTTATTTTCAGATGTACCTACTATTATTTCTGTGTTGAAACATGATATTGATGTTGCTGATCATAATCAAATTAAGCAAAACTATTATTGAGAGAACCCTAATGAAACAGGAAACAAACTATCTTGTGAAGCATGTTTTAGCTTTTCTTAGCTCAAGTACCAGAGCTAAGTTCGTCTCCTGCTACTCAGGAAAGACAATCTAAGAAAAGAGTCTCTATTTGTTTGGTCTTCTCAGTGCCCTGTAGCTTTTGATTCTTTATTTGTTGTGTAGCAAACCTGTTATGTCGACTCCTGACTTTACACAATTTTTGTTAGCTGTACTGAAGCAAAAATCCAAAATGGAATTGATCACACCTTGTGTTTCTTCTCTAAAAGTTCAACCAGAATAACTCGGAATAACAAAAAAGAAGAGCACATGGCAACAAACAACATGGGTCATGTGCACACAAAACAATACAAGTCTTGAGCAGTGTCACAGCTCCAAGAGACATAAAACATAACAACAACTCACAGAAATAACACGAATAAGACAAGGGGGGAAGGAGGGAAACAAAACAAATGGAACAAGTTAGTCCAAAAGGGAACAGAGGACAAGCCACTTCTCTTCATACCATCCAGGGAGGAGTGAGAGGGCAAATGCAGACAACAATTATCCAGACAACGAATAGGAAGGAGCAGGAAGGGCAAAAATGGCAGAAAAAGCCTGCCAGGGAGGGTCCAATGAATCAGGGATCCTAGAAGGGAGCAAGGGCTGATCTAGAGAGTATCTGAAGGGACACAGAGCATGAGGCTTGACAGGGGCAGGCAACAAGTGAATTGAATTCTTGACTAGAGCCGACAGGGCTTCCAGCTTGACTGGAGCTGGCAAGGTTTGATCTTGACTGAAGGCAGCAGGGCTTTGATCTTGCCTGGAGCTGGTAGGGTTTTATCTTGTCCATGAAGACAGCTCTGCTGGTCATGTTGGTATCAATCAGGAGCGTCAGGATTCTGGTACCATTTTCAGTCAGCCAATCATGCCAGGAATTCAGTTCAGCCTACTCCAGCTGTGTGCCAAGGTTCCTACCACACTTTTTTTACAGGTAGTGAACCTGCAAGTGCTGCCTGTGGAGGAGGCAGACCCAGCCCTTTCATTGCTGTGTCCGCACACTGTGCTTAATGTGATCACACGTAGAGCATTCGTCTCTAAGCAGCTTTTTTTCTGCTATGATAGGGGAAAGGGAAGTGTCGTATCAAAGCAGAGGTTGGTCCACTTGATAGCTGATGCTATTGCCCTCATTTCGCTGTGCCAGGATGAACCATGTACCCCATGAGTGAGGGCACCCTTATAGCGGTGCTTGCTATAGGCTTAGGCTCCTTTAGGTGAACCCGAGAGAGCTCCTCAGGAGTAGCCAGGTGCCTGGCCTAGTATGATGTCTGGTATGCTCGCTTGGTTTACCCACATGCTGGGGTTCAGTCAAAGCTTTGCGTGGTCCCCGTTGGTGATCCTATATGCGTATATAGCCTCGGAGTGTTCCCCTTTTCTCAGGCGAACCCGTGTCTACCCTACCCGCTAACCAGCTTATCATATGTAGCACTCCCCCTGGATAGGGCTAGTCAGAAAACCCCTATTGGGTAGCAGGTCGTCTCCACAGCATCCTCCCCCTTCGAGGACTGGCATGCTTTTTCAACATACTTTTGTAATTTAAAAATCCCTAGACTACAATTAGCTAGGTAAAAGCACATCTATGA